CGCGCGCACACACACACACACACACACACACACACGCACAAACACACGGACACACACACCCCCATCCACACCCACCCCCACACACACACCCCCACTCTCTCTCTGAGCAAATCCGGGATGAATCTTCCGCTAGATGTGTGTGTGTGTGAGAGAGAGAGGGAGAGAGAGAGCAGATTCTCTCTCTCTCTCTCTCTCTCTCTCTCTCTCTCTCTCTCACACACACACACACACACACACACACACACACACACACACGCACACACATGCCAGCGCCCCGCCTGCCGCGCATGACTTGTACTCTTAAAGAATGCAAAGGGCCCAGTGTGACGCTTCCTGCTGGGCCCAACGAAATTCCGTGTGGAGGAGGGCGGGACCGGGGCAAGGTAAATCGGCCGCAGCATTTCGTGGCGAGACTGCGGGCAGGAGTGAGGGAAATTCAGTGTGGCGGCTCCACGCAGCACACCCCGCTCCGCAGTGTCGGGAGGACACAAAGTCCCGTTCCCCGCTGCCACGGTTTTTCTTTCAACCCCCCCATTCAGTTCTGTTTCCCACCAGTCCGTGGTGTCGGGCGCCGGGCGGGGGGGCGCCTCAATATGGAAAAGGGCGGCGATGGAAAGATGTGATGGACAAGGGAGGATCAACGCAGGAGGAGGGAGGAGGAAGAGGGAGAAAGACATTCGGGGCATGTTGCACGTGTGCGCTCAGAGCAGGAAGGGTGGGAGAAAGAGGGAGGATGAAGACGGAGAAGCATGTTTGGGCCGATCGAAACAAAGAAGGCAGCATGAGGAGCAGCGAGGAAGAGGAGGAACAACGAAAAAGAGGAGGAGCGAGGGGATGATGAGAATGGAGGAAAGACGAGGAGGATGGAACAAAAGGAGAAAGAGGGACGAAAAGGAGGAGGACGATAAGCATGGCAGACAACGAGAATTCATGGAGGAAGGGAGAGGATGTAGGGAGGAGGTTGGCAGGGGGAGGAGGACATCGCACAAGGGGGAGGAGGAGGTTGGAAGAGAGGTTGGAGGAGGTCGCACGAGGGGGAGGAGGAGGTCGCACAAGGAGGAGGACGTTGTGCGAGGGGGAAGCGGACGTCGCGACAAGGAGGAGGAGGTCGGAAGAGAGGTGGGAGGAGGTCATGCGAGTGGAAGCAGACATTGCGACAAGGAGGAGGAGGAGGTCGTGCGAGGGGGATGAGGAGGTGGGTCGTGGATGCGTGAGGGGGAGGAGGTCGCACGAGGATTAGGAGGACGTTGTGTGAGGGGGAGGAGGAGGCCGAGCAAGGGAGAGGGGGAGGAAGTCGTGCGAGGGGGAGAAGCTGTCTCTTATACACATCTAGATGTGTATAAGAGACAGCCCTCCTGCTCCGTATAATCTTCCACCGCCTCCAACCGTCGGTGCCGCCACGCTTGCTCCCCCTGACCCACCCAGATTTGGTTTTCCCCAGCTTCCCACCTCTGGCCTCTTTTTCTCCGTTCCACGCTTGTTGTTGCGTTTCCCATCTCCTCCTCGAGCACAGATACCCACCACAGTGGTTATTCCTATCAGTACTGCAGCGAAGCTAAACGCATGACACTGTTTGCTAAATACCTTCCTTAGGCTAGTAGCAGGTCCTGGATAAACTGGACCATTTTGTAGATGGCGGTGATTGCTCCCTGCAGTTGCTTGCAAAACCGTGCGCGGACGAGACTCCTCGCCCACATGCCAGCCGTCTGGATCGCCGCTTGCGTAATTATGTGATAGGAGGGAGCGCTTCAAGGCGTGCCTTTTCGAAGCCGACCTTGCCTCCTGACCACTTGCCGCTCTTGACCTGTCCGCCATTTGCTCTGGCCTTGCAAGTCTGTCTTCTTCTTGCCGAGCAAGTCGAACAAACACCCAGGCGCCCCTCTTCTTGCCCTTGTGATCCTCCACGACCCTCAGCCGGTATTGGGAGTAGTAGTTTCTGATGTCGAAGGCTGACAACAGCTTGAGAGGAGCTGCTGCACAGCGAGCGTACCACGTCAAGGAAGAGAAGAAAGACGATCCGCCATGGCTCATTACCTCCCTTCGACTAAGTCCTAGCAACGCACTTCTCAGTGACACATCTTTTTTATCCGGTTTAGATCGAGAAGCAAACAGAATCAGCGATCTCCCCTCTGCTGGCAGTGCTGTCTCCAGATCAGTTGCAGCAGCGTTTGCGAGCAGCTTGCGATTCCCCATCAATGGTAATGGAACCTCTAAGACTTCTTCGTTAGCGTTTGGAAGGTCGTGGCTATGGCGGCCATCACTTTCGTTAGGAGGAAGACGAAGACAGTCGAGAGATCGTCCAGCAGCTTGCTCGACGTTATTCACATGGGTCTGACTCGCAAGAGACCCTTTGTCGGCAGTTACATCCGATTCAGCAGCAGCGAGCGACAGGAGAAAGAAGCACAGAACGACGATGTAAGCTTTGCAGGGATGATCAACGCTTGCCGGAGCCATCCCCCCCATCCATGCAAGACTGGGCGCCGCTACTGCCATCCCTGTCCTTCGTGCTTAACCCTCCCTCTGCATAAGTGCGTGTGCACTCCCTTGTGCTCATGTGTATATGTGGAATGCCTGTGGCCCTGCGGGTCTATGAGTCTCTGCGCGGCGCAGGGTAGGGCTCCCGCGTTTGACATTCAGTCGGGCCCTTTTTTATACTCCCGGATCACCTGCGTGGCGGCCCATTCCCCCCGGGGGCTAGGTCCCACTTGCACGAATTAAGAGATTCTGGCCGTTGATCTTTGCTATCTACGGTCAATATCGCTTAATTCGTGCAAGTGGGACCTAACCCCGGGGTGTGGTCCCACCAGCAGAGAGGATCGGATCTAATGGCCGAATCTGGACGTGTTTGTCGAAAGGTGCAGGAAATTGAGATTGAACTGGCTTTCTGCATCTCTGCGTAAAACACATCCAGATTCAGGCATTCGATCCGATCCTCGTTTTGCTAGTGGGACCTCGGGCCCGCTTCCGACCGGCTTATGGGGAAGAGCGTTGGACTGCCTCATGATGCATCATGGGCCACAGTGGTAACATGGACATATAACCGACCAAGAGATTTTGACAGAATTTTGTCGTAAACCGGACTACATACATGGGGCGTAAAGGATGGACTTCCGCGGTTTCCTCGACGCTGCCTTCCGGCAATCATCAGAAGACAAGAAAAAAAAAAAAAAGGGAGCAAAGGAGGACATGGAAGTGTCCGACTCGAGGGAGGTCGGCAGGCGCCCGGTAGCGCTTCGGTGCGCTAAGTTTGCGTTAATTCGAGATCGAATGTAGCACAGCCCTAGCGCCCCGGGGTCCGGCCGACGCTTGACGATGAAGTGGGTTCATAGAGTCCTGTGGCCACGAATTGTGGAAAGATGAACGCCCCGATTGGAGGGAGGTATGGCGGCGCCATATCCTCGGTTGTCCATACCCTAACCTGCTCCTTGATTGGAGGGGGAGTGCCTTGCACTCAGGGTATGGGCCCCACTCGGTCTCCTCTGGCTTCCACCTTCCACTTCACTCAAGTAATGGAACTTTTACCGCAGAAAATGACGAAGAATTGGCATGTAGTCTGGTTGACGAAGACCAAGTTTGGAAGAAGATCTTTGCTCGTTCCTGCAGTGGCAGGCGCCAGTCTCCGACGCGGCGGATGTGAAGGATGGCAGTAGCGTCTATGCTAGCGGTGGCAGAGCCAGTATGGGCAGTGGGAGTGCTGTCGCCAACACCAAGGATACAGCGGGGTACAATAGTTTCAGGGTCCGCACCGGGGCATGGTTGTTGGTAGATGCATTTGTTTGAGGTTTTTTTTTTTTTAGGTGTTGTATTGAGCTGTACTCGTTGGTTAGATTCATGGACTTAAGGTTACTCTGTCGAAATGGGGTTCTCTTTGAGGTAGCACAGAAGGTGCAACCAAGACAGCAGGGTCATGGAGTGGAAGTGGTTTATGGCGAAACTCACGGGACTACCAGTAGCAGTGCCTCGAGAAACAGTGAGAGTGCGACGAGAGGTAGTGGGAACTCTACTGGCGTGGAGGTAAGAGAGACCTGGTAAAGAGCAAACTAGAGTTGTATCCATTGGGTGCGTGGTGGGAAACCCGTCTAGGCAACAAAGGCTCTTTACAGCGCTTTGGACAGTGATGATGAGAGGGCAGCCTTGATACTGACGAGGAACTAGTTGTTATTGGGTGGAGGTCTACAAAGTTGGGGGTTATCTATATTTTTGGCTATAATTACTAGGGATTTTTGTGGAAAATGTTGACCTCGTTTTTGCTGTTTTCTAGGCAAGAATAACCTCTGTGCTGCTGTGTTTCTGGCCGTATTTTGTGATGTAATGTRAAGAGCTCGGATACAATAACGGGCTGTAGTATTGTGGGCGTAGGAATTTAGTCTATTTYTTGGTAATAGTCTATTCTTTGGTAATATTGACCTCGTTTTTTGGGTTATTTTCTAGGTTAGCATAATCTCTGTGCTGCTGTTTTTCSGTCGTATTTAGGGCATTGTCACTCTTAGTGTTTCGTTGTTAGAAACATGTAATCGTGGTGGGAAACCCATCTCGGCAGCTCAGGCTGTTTACAACGTATTGCGTAGTAAGGATGAGAAGCTTACCCGGACAGAATCGAGGGAACCATTGTGGGAGAGGTATGTACTAGGTATGTAGTTTCATTTGGTGGGTCATAGTATCCACAGTTTTTGTGAGAGGAAAGTACAGTGGTTTATGACCGGACATGAAGGAAATCTGGTGATACGCATGGAATGGCTACTGTAGCGGCACCACCTTGTCCAGTGGGAGTGTAACAAGGGGCGGTGGGAACGTTACCGGTTAGATGGCACGAGAGAACCGGTGAAGGGCAAACTTGAGTTGTACCCATTGCGATCGCRAAATTAAGAAGATCCAAGGGTGCGTGGTGGGAAACCCGTCATGGCAGCTCAGGCTCTCTACAGGGTGCTGGSACAGTGTGGGTGARAGGGTAGCTTGCCACAGCGACTCATACGTGTGAGAACAAGGCAATCCTTACTCGGTTCAGGATGAAACCCACGGAATTACTAATAGCGGCGCCATTTTGAGCAGTGGGAGGGTATCAAGAGGCGGTGGGAACGCTATTGGTTAGGTGCTAAGAGAGAACCGGTGAGGAGMAAACTTGAACTGTACCCATTGTGTCCGCAAAAACGAAGGTCCAAGGGTGCGTGGTGGGAAACCCGTCATGGCAGTTCAGGCTACTTACAGGGTGGTGCAGCAGTGAAGGTA